TTCTGCGAATATACACGTAGCCGTCTCAATTTTAATCTGATGGTGACGCCATTTTCCGAAAACTGAATCTCACCTCACTGCCAACGGCCGTGGAAGCGGTTGGTTCCGATCCTGAAACCCGTAACTTACGCTCGGCTCCTAACCGGTCTTACGGCCACGAAGGCCGCGCGGGCTCCACGGGACATCGGCCGCTGGGTCCAGTACTAGCTGGCGCACGGCGCGTTGACGCAGGATCACCAGTGTCCAGAGCAGCCGGGTCACAGGGCCGTAGTTTTTTTTTTTGAGTGTTTAGTTTCCGAGATATGACCGCTCAAAGTTGGTCACATGCGCTTTTGCGCAATGTGAATGCGTGTTATCACTGATTCATTCGCGAACTAGGGGTCTCTTACGTTCAATTTACGTTGAAATAATTACACAGAGCAGTAAGGTGTACAACACGAGCCGTCTTTTCACCTTCGGCTGCCGATGTGCGACGTTGCCATTTTTTGAAGTGAAAACTCTTAACAATGCATAACTCCGCTGCATTTCAACCGATTTTAATGAACTTTTTTTTAAAATATTCCTCTTAAATAGAGCTATCTAATGGCATTCAGGTTTCTGGATTTTATTTACCTTAGGGAAGCACTTAGGTCGTTTAAGTATATGGTTCTTTGCAGAGATTTTCCGTACCAAAAATAGTGTTGCTTTTTTTTTCTTTTTTGGAAGGAGGTCTGTATTTCCCTCGATTTTTTTTAACATTCAAACTAGATTGGAAGATCATCATCGCTTAAAGTTTAATGCACAAATCTTGGTAAATTAGCAACACCACCTTCTCTTGTACAATGAGAGCATCGCTATCAATGTTTGTACACGTTAGAATAGTGATTAAAAGAATCCCTTTTTCAAAAGTTCTTTTTTTAAAATTCTGCCATTTCAAACCCTCCCAGAACCCCCGGGAAAAACATAGCAACACTTTTTTGTACGAAAAATCTCTGCAAAGAACCATATAAACGACCTAAGTGCTTCCCTAAGGTAAATAAAATCCAGAAACCTGAATGCCATTAGATAGCTCTATTTAAGAGGAACATTTTAAAAAAAAGTTTATTAAAATCGGTTGAAATGCAGCGGAGTTGTGCATTTTTAAGAGTTTTCACTTCAAAAAATGGCAACGTCGCACATCGGCAGCCGAAGGTGAAAAGCGGCTCGTGTTCTACACCATACTGCTCTGTGTAATTATTTCAACGTAAATTGAACGTAAGGGACCCCTAGTTCGCGAATGACTCAGTGATAACACGCATTCACATTGCGCAAAAGCGCATGTGACCAACTTTGAGCGGTCATATCTCGGAAACTAAACGTTTCCCCGGAATGACCATGTGCTCGTTAGAAAGGTGAGAACCTGAACTCTCATTTAGACTGGTTTTTGTTTAGATTACGTCGATTCCACGATCGTGGTAAAATAAAAACAAAATTTTTGTGTCTATAGAAACTGCTAAAACCGCGTAAGTGCCGCTTAAAGCCAAGTAAACCCCAGAAAACTATACACCACTAGAAAGCTCTATTTAAGAGGACCATTTTAAAAAAAGTTCATTGAAATCGGTTGAGATGCAGCGGAGATATGAATTTTTAAAGGTTTCCAGTTTAAAAAATGGCAACGTCCCAACCCGGCGCTTCTAAGCAAAACGGCGACCGGTTTTGGGCGTCTCGGAAGCTACTGTAGCACCCCAAGTGTTCAAAGTTCGAAAATGCTTGAGGCATTTTTGGCCATTTTTTCACACACCTCTTCGCTGAATTGACCGAACAGGAAATACGTTTGTAGTTTTTGTGACAAGGAAATTAAGCAAAAAATTCTAATGTCCCCTAAAGATTGTTTGTAAAAAAAAGTATAGCCCGAAAACTGGATACAAAAACACATTGTTCTGAACGAATAAGCCGAAGTTTTTAAAAGCTGAAGAAGATTTTAATAACTTATCTTTGTTAAAATAGTTAAGACATTCTTATAAAAAATTTATGCATGTTAATAATATTTAAGAAAAGAAAAAGAAAAAAGGTACAAAGTATTAAAATGTACTTAATTTTTTTCATATATTCCTGAACAACAAAGGTACTTTTGAAAGTAGGTATACCATCTTTAAATTATCCATGATAAATATTAGTTTTTGCCCTTATCCTGGTTTTGCAAATTCAAAAAATATTCCGCAATCCGTTCTGACGCATATTCAACAATAAAAATATTCACTTATACAGCGCAAATTCGCCCCTCTAATACAGAAGCCTCGTTTGCTCAGTAGGTAGCGCATTCGATTCCTGATAGGCAGGTCCCAGGTTCAATTCCTGACAGGTAGAGAATAAATTTGAAAGTTGATCTCAAGGAGAAATAATTGACTACAGATTCAGGTAGGTAAAAAGTCTATTTTTTTCTTTACGATTCATCATTTTAATCAATTTTAGGAAGGAAGAGTTTTTTGCGCATAACTTTTTACGTAAAGAAACTTGATCTTTTCACGTAAAAAATCTTGCACTCTTTACGAATTATTCTTGTAAAAAAGACTACATCGGCATTTCATTTTTGGTCTATTTTACGTCTCTTTTTACGAATTTTTTTGGTAAATTTTACGTCTTTGTGCTACTAGGGAAAATGCTACGATCGCAGTCTAGACCGTCCAAAATACGTCGATAACACTGCGCCCACGCAGTTAACTTTACATTGTGGGAAAAACACATTTCTGACATCCTGTTAATTTATCCTGTGTACGTTTTTCTTCATCGAAAAATAATGCAGTATTTTTTCTAAAATGTAATAAATGTAGGTACCTATTCCTTCTACATTAAGATTATATTTTCACGAAGTTACTTTAAATCATCATCTATACATCTAACTTTTGGTCGTCAACCTTGAGATGGGTGCAAAGGTTTCATCCTTATTTTCCTTAACCTGTCAAAAGAGGGTTATGCAAAACGGCCAAAAAGCGACCAAGCGTACCTACACTGTACCTACCCAACTTTGTGAGATGGTTGTAGGTACAGGTCATTCTGGGCCTCCATTTGGCTGGATTTAGACGAAATCCGCAGGGAATCAAGGTTGCCATTTTTTTAAGTTGTGACATTTTAACACGCATAACTTTCGCAGAAAAGCAGTTACAGAGCTCGTAATGGGCCTGTTGCATGCAAGAGATACAGCCGCGCGAATAGACTTTATAGGGGTTAAATGACACGAAAATTACGATGGTCTCATTAAAAAAGTCTGAAATACACTCCTTACTGCGCAATTTGCGTTGTTAGGAACGCGCTTTTTCAAATTTCCCGCGTCTGGGGGCAGTTTTCTAATCACCGGAAACGAGCAAACGGCGGGCTCGGTGATTTCCGGAAGATGCCGAGTCGTTGTTGTTGTTGTTATTTTTTCCTTCAGTTTGTTTACAAACCCAACGTGATCTCTTATAGTGGTCCATGTACGCTTTATGTGGTAACGAAATCGATCAACTTTTAAATATCCAACGCAATCCTTCTACATTTCATTTCACGATATCACGAGCTCCGATTTTTAGGTTATGTTGTCGGTTTTAGTTGACCGGAAATAGCCGCGAGTTGCCGTTAGAAAACTGCCCCCAGACGCGGGAAATTTGAAAAAGCGCGTTCCTAACAACGCAAATTGCGCAGTAAGGAGTGTATTTCAGACTTTTTTAATGTGACCATCGTAATTTTCGTATCATTTAACCGCTATAAAGTCTATTCGCACGGCTGTATCTCTTGCATGCAACAGGCCCATTATACCAAAAACGCAAAAAAATTATGATCCATCGACCTTTGCAAAAGTAACAATGTTTTGAGTTCACTGTTGCCACATTTAGGCCGTTTGTTTAATTTCAATAATTATTAAATATCACGTTACCGCTTAAAAGTGTGTTTGCAGTTAGTGGGGATGGAATAAAAACCTGTCGGAATTATTGTTCGTTCGATTTCGCATCCATCAATATGTTATGCTTTTCTGGAAAGCTTGGGGAATTCGAGGTATAGCAATTTAAAAATTCTGCAACACGCCATACACCCGATTTTGACGCTCTTTTCTGTACGTTTCGCGACTCCCCCGTGTTGAAACAAAACACCTAAACCAGACTGACTGTATACGAATTTAAGTCAGTTCATGTTTTGCGCTTTTTTGAAACGTTGACGTGATTTTTAGGAATTCACGTATGTAACGACGAAAATGCCGGTTTTCAATGAAAACCACCTCTGTGATCACAATTTAAAGGAGGTAATGGTCATTCAATCATGTCCAGCTACGGATTCCAACCTAAACTGATCATCGTCGACATGGTGTTCGCCAATTTTCCCAATTTCCGTAAATTTGATAGGAATTCACATAGCGGCGGAGTTGTCAGTTTTCAAAAAAACCGCCACCACAGTCACAAAAAATGTATTACCACTCACTTAATCACGTCCAGCCACATATACGCCCAGCCACATATACGCCCAGCCACATTTACGCCCAGCCACATTATACGCCCAGCCACATTATACGCCCAGTCTTTTTCTGTCGTTGGGTCTGTCGATTTCTCGAATGGACGGTATCTTCTGCCTCTCTGCAACGGCAGTAGTGCCCGACAAAAACGATAAATCAAAATTGAAAGCTACCAAATCACCCAGGTGGTCTGATACGTAAGTTTGCCAAGGGACCAAGGTCAATTGATCTTAATTCTCACTTGATACAATTATTTCGATCCCTCGTTTTTGCGGGCACCACTACCGTTGGTCGATAGAGCGTACTTTTCTGCGTTTTTTAGTATGAATACGAGCTCTGTAACTCCTTTGTTGCAAAAGTTTTGCGTGTTTGAATGTTACAACTTTAAAAAATGGCAACGTCGATTCCCTGCGGATGTTGCCTAAATCCTGCCAGATGTAAGCCGAGGATGACCTATAAAATCACCTCACAAAGTTTGGTACCTACAATCTCCGCTTGGTCACTTTTTGGCCGTTTTACACAACCCTGAAATTGACGTGTAATTTAAAACGGCTCTACTTACCTGAAATTTATACGAATCAGCCGGGCCGATGAGATCCATCCGCATGCCCATGGAGTCATGCAAAAACAACCAAGCGAAGACGTACACCATTATGTTAGAGCAAACTGATGACATATATCTGGAATACGAAAATATATATCTAAGCTTCTGTTCTTAGTCAAATAAGAGCAAACGTAAGTTAGGCAAAGTCTCTTATTGTTGCAAACTTGGAAAACAATAATTCAGAAATTAAAAGATTAAATGACAGGCTTGAAAGATGAGGGGATACGTGCAGTTTTCGAAAAAAATAAAGAATGTAGTCTTGAATTTTTCAAAGAATACATTTGAAGACTGGTTTTAGTTGAAATCATTACCTAATATTAATGTTTTCAACTAAAACTAGTCTTCAAATATATTCTGGGAAAAATTCACCGCTAAAAGCCAATTAATAGGCATAAAAAAGTGATCCTGAATTTTCTTTTCGCCATGAGGCTCCATGTAATTTTGAACCTTCATACACGTTGTTCTTGATAATACCTAGCAAAAACTAAACTTATTCCACTTGTCCTCCAGCCTTGAAATTGCATCAAGAGTACGGCAAGAATGCGAGCACCATCAGCACCTCCTACTTTATTCACACATACATTAAGCCGCTTTCACAGCGCAGCCTCGCGCTCTGCGACGCCTAATCGCCATTGCCCCCTGTCCTCCCAGACATCATCAGGCCCTTTGTCGCCAACCTCTCACAGGACGCCCATGCCGTCGCCTTCCGAGAAGAACCCAATCGAAAACCTGCTTGGGCAACCGATCGTCTGCCATCCTTCACAAATGACCATACTGTTAAATGAATGAACGCACTTTGAGAAACTAGCCATACTATAGCTATACTCATAGTTACTAATTAACAATACCTACTTAATTAAACATGATCGGAATGGCATTTATGAATAATAAAATAAGGATTAAAACAAGAACCTTGATGCTCATAATTTTTTACTTACATAATTTAGTACATGCAGAGGTGGGAGCTGAAGCTTTTCAAACGTATGGCGTTCATCATCAGGGCATACATAGTGATAACAGCGAAAAGGGTAATAAGCAACAAGCACTAATAATCTGCATCATGCACAACAATTAATTACATAGCTCAAATAATAAATAGCAAAAGCTGTACAGGTATGAGAGGAGAGATAACCTAAAAAACCTAATTCTTGTAAGTAATGTGTATTCTATCATAAATAGTCAAGATTTTGCCAAAAAATTGAAAGATTACAAAATAGGTGAAAGACATTCAATGTTATCCTTTGATGTAGTAAAGCTGTACACTAATGTTCCTCTTAATGAACTAGAGGCACTCATTAGAAAAAAACTGATTGATTCTAAAAAAGTTAGCAGACTGTATGTGGATCAAATAATGAAACTCTTATGAACCATCCTGAAACAAAATTATTTTCAATTTGATGATAAATTTTATATCACAAAGAAAGGATTAGCAATGGGTGCGCCTCTGTCAAGCACACTAGTCCAAATCTATTTATGTCATCTCGAGGAAACTCATATTATGAATAAAAAGAACCCATATTTTAATCATATTAAAAAATATTTTAGGTACGTTGATGATATATATATATATATAAAGGTCGCTTTACAGCACTTCCTCGCGCTCTACGACTCCTAACCTCCACTGCTCTCTTTCAAACCACAAATCTTGGGGGATTGAGCACCTTAACATTTCCGCTTCAATCCCTTCCCTCCAACCTTTCATTGGGCGCCCTCTGCGTCTTCTCCCAGGAGGAACCCAGTCAAGGACCTTCTTCGGCAACCTGTCTCCTGCCATTCTCTGGACATGACCATACCAAATGAGTTGTTTTGTCATAATGTCATGCACGATGGTCTGTTTGGTATCCATGATCTCCCGTACCCTCTCATTCCTGACGCGACCCTTTCTGGAAGTACCAGCGGATCTACGCCAGAGGTCCATCTCAGTTGCCTCTAAAACCTCCCGGGTCCGCTGTTTCATTGGCCATACTTCACACCCGTAGGTTACTATGCTCTTGACAATCGCGTTGTAGATCCTTCTTTTGTTCTCTTTGGAGATCCTTTGGTCCCAAAGGACTCATAGCGATTTAACATAGCAATTGCCCTCCTACCCTGCACATTCCTCTTCTTGATGGCCTGGTCCAATCTTCCATCCTGGGTTAGAAACACTCCTAAATATTTGTAAATATCGCAGCTTCCAATTCGCCGCCCATCCTCTAATTCTATACTTTGCTGATTCCCGCCAACGGTCAACTTCTCGGTTTTGCTGACATTCACCTCGAGGCCCCATTTCCGATACTCAGCCACCAACTTTCGAGTTATGTACTCAGCATCATCCTGATCGTGGGCAATAATTACTTGGTCATCAGCAAAGCATAACGTGTAAAGAGTTTCTTCATCATTCAGAGGGACACCCATTCCGGAACATTTTTTCTTCCATTCACGCAGTACATGTTCTAAGTATATTTTAAACAAGGTGGGGGAGAGGCAGCACCCTTGCTTTAGCCCCTTCGTTACATAAAAACCCCCCGACAAGCCCCCATTACATTTAATTCTTGCGAAAGTCCCTTGATAAAAAAGCTTAATTGCGTTAATTAGTCCACGAGTAAAATCAGATTTTTCCAAGGCCTCCCACAGTTTCACTAAAGGCAAGCTATCATAGGCTTTTTGCAAATCCACGAACACCAAGTGCAATTCTTGACCAACCGCCATCTTCTTCTCAATAACCTGGGTGATGCAAAATAGATGGTCGACGGTTGATCTGCCAGCCCTGAAACCCGCTTCCTCTTCTGCCTCATGATGAATCCATTCTTCTTCGATTTTAGCTTTCAATATCTTACCATAAATTTTACTAATCGTTCCGGTCACCGACAATCCACGATAATTATAGAGATCGTCCTTTTTCCCTTTTTTGTGGGTAGCTGTAATCCAACATTCTTTCCACTCCCTCGGGACTTCATCACCCCTCGCACATTTATCCATCAAGTCCCTTAAGCAATGGAACAGTCTGTTGGACCCACATTTAATTAATTCTGAGGGAATATATCCGGGTCGATAAACTTTCACATTCTTCAACTCCCTGACGGCTTTCACCACATCAAAGAGCTGGACTGATAAAGTGGATGCCTCATCGGTGTTTATCTGCGTGCCTCCCTGAAACTCTGGTCGCCTTTCGGTCAATAATTGTTTAAAATGTTCCTCCAACTGGCGGATCGATATCGGAGATAAAACGTTGATGATACCTTTTTAATGTTTATTGGAACTGACCGAATTGTTAATGCTCTGTTACGATATACTAATTCTTTATCGCTTTATATCAAGTTTAATTACTCTAGAAAAAAGGAATAGTAGCACTTTAAATTTTCTAGATTTATCAATTAAAATACAACCTGACAGATCCCTAAAATTTAATATATACAGGAAAGCTATGACTACAGATTTGTTAATTCCATTTACTTCTAATAGGCCTCGAGAACATAAGAATGCAGCACTTGCACTACATAGCTTAGCCTACCGAGCTTTTAATGTCCCAATGACAAGTGAAGATCTAAACCAAGAACTAAATGTAATTCGATATCTAGCTCGTAAGAATGGCCACCCTGCATATGAAGTAAATAAAATTATTACACATCATTGTAAACGAAAAGAAAATTGTAATGATAAAGATGTAAAAACCAGTAGTACTAATAAAAAATATGTTAGCTTGAATTACTATAATGCAGCTAGTCAAAAAATTGGAAATATTTTTAAAAATTTGGATACAAACCTGCTTTCAGATCCACATTCCATTGTACAAATTATTAAAAAAATGTAGATACTACTGATAATTTTAATTGTGCAGGAGTAAACTGTATTAGTTGTAATATTTGTAACGCCAAATACATAGGTAAGACCGAGCGTAACATCAAAACTAGATTAAAAGAACGCATACAGCGAAATGACTCTAATGTATTCAAACATGTCAAAAACACTGGCCATGTAATTAATGACATTGATAACAGTGTAAATAATTATGCCATTAGAAGAACAACGACCAAGGGATGTTGCGTGTACTTGAAAAGTACGAAATAAGGAAGGGCGTATTAAATCAAGAAAATTTACTAAATGTGCAACTAGATATAGGCACTTGTTCCAATGTATTGATTGATTACTACTGTTCCCTGTGAGTAATCACACTAACTACCGAACTGGTCATTTCCTGTTCACCTCTGTTTTATCTTGTTATGCTCCTGAATAGTTTCTTCATGCAGTATGTAAACAGCTCTTATCACTTGTCAACTCGCTCTCTCCTCTCATACCTCGGATTGGTTGTGCGCGGGCATTGGTCTGTCGTACCGGACCGGAGCCTTTGCGTGGGTGACATACTGCAGGCCTTAGCCATGCTGTTCCTAGCGCCAAGGGGACGGTCCTCTCCTTACAAAGCCTGCTATGGGCCCGTTTGCCGGAAATCCCCTAACGACCGCCCCCACCCAGGACTTAAGCAACGCGCGAAATCCCTACCATCGGATCACCCGGCATACAGCACCGGGGAGCCGCCCGACGGCCACGGAGGAGCGACGGCGTCAACCACGATCGGCGAGCTTCCCCGCAACCCCTCGGCGAAGAGTCCGAGCCCGGGGCCGTTCGGAACGGGGTATCACAAGTATTGCGCGATAGGGCCCCGGACTCTGAGCCCCGGCTTGTCAGCGGTCGGCCTCAAGGGCGTTCTCGCCCGCCCGATAGGCTCGCTCCTGTGTAGTTGACTTGGAACTGGGATTTGCGGGCCGGTCTGGACGGCTTGCTTCAATACTTGACGGTTTTTCTATCCCGAGTCGATTTGCCCCGGCATGTCAGCGGTCCGCGTCACCAGGCCGCCCGCCGCCAGGCGCTCGCTGTCAGGAAAAGCGCGCGCGTCAGAGGCGCGCGTCCGGCAGCTAGTTTAGATACGAACCTCCTCTACGATCGCGTCTCGGTGATCGAGACTCCTGTGGGCAGAGCCCAGGCCCGGCCGGCGGTTGACGCCGTCGGCCGGGTGAGGCGTGTCGTCGGCCGGGTGAGGCGAGTCGTCGGCTAGTTCGTCCCGCCGAGCGGTCCTAGCTCGGCTCCCGGCTGGTGCGCTGT